TGAATGCATAATTAGTTAAAACAAATTTTAAAATATTTTACTTGGCACCTTAATCTCTTTTATCCTGTGCAGGGGAAGGACGTTTCTTGAAATCTGTCATTGCCACCTTGTGGGTGTGGCTGTAAAAAAGACCCAGCATCAGCAGAGAGATGGCACATGATTACCAGTGAATCCACCAGGAAAGCAGGATTCCATAAGGCTCCATAGTCTTAGAATTTCTGGGGACTCCACAGTTCCTCCCCAATCCATCCCTGAACACAAAGGATTGCTGCTTGCTGGAGCAGGGCTTTTTGGGATTTGTCATCAGACAGATGTGTTGTCATGGTAACCCCAGTCAGGCATTAATCTCCCTCTGTGTGGAGGAATGCTAAGCCTCTTAACCACTGCCTTTTCTCCCTCCACCCTCTTACCCGAGAGCTGGAGGAACTGGATGTGCCTTTCAGGGCAGCAGAGAGAAGTGGTGAGACTTGGGACAGCTCTGGAAACCAGGGGAGAAAGTGGCACTTTTCTAAGATATTGGCTTATATGTTCAAGGTGCTGGTCCCAAATTCAATGCAGCATTGTCATCCAGCTGGGCAGAGAGGTGCTTCTCTGTAGAGATATGCACTTGGTCTGTGCTCCCTGGTGTGTGGGATGAGTCCCTGGGTCTTGCAGGGTTATGTGAGGGGAACTCGACCTCCCATTGCCTATTCTGCATCTTGTGGAGCACAGGCTGCACATTAACACATAGGCACAGAGAGAAGGTGGAGTTTCAATTGCAAAGTCCCAGGCAACATGGGAGAGGAAGGGAGCATTGAGGTTGAGCCTGTAAAGAGTGAGGGATCTGTCACCTGGGAGTGAGATTTATTGTCCCTTTGTCGTAGCACAGATATTCTGCATCATTCATGTTAAAGTGGAGGGCACCATCTGATTGTGGTTGTGAAGTGTCATTAGTTAGTACAGTAGGACTACTTCAAGTAAAGACTGCATGGAGCACTTGGCTGCTCTGCTTCACTCCACAGGCGACAATGCCTTAGCTCCATCCCCTGTGATACCTCTCCAGACTGAACTGGACAGCAGTAGGGCACAGAGAAACATGGCAATTGAATATGAACACTTCTTTCTCCTGTCATTCAAACAGGCTTTACTGAGCACCCAGAATAAGCTGAGAACTTTAGTCCCAAATTTCACCTTCAACTTGGGCTTCTCAGGGAAATTCTACCACACAGGTAAGCCCCTGGCATGCCTTCACCCCAGCACTTGTATACCCCTGTGTTCTTGTATGTGTGTTTAACACCATAGAGAGAGGATGATTCTCTGTTGGAATGACTCAGCATTGCAGTGGATTAGCCTCTGCTTTGAAACATTGAGCCCCTCTTATGCCTTGTCTTTTTGCACTTCCTTTTCTGCTCTCTGTAGGTACGGATGAGGAAGATGAAGGGGATGACATGCTGCTCAAACATAGAAAGGAGTTCTGGTGGTTTCCTCACATGTGGAGTCACATGCAGCCTCATCTTTTCCACAATGTCACTGTGCTGGCTGAGCAAATGAAACTCAACAAACAGTTTGCTGTGGTAAGTGGCATCACAGTATATTTACTTTACAGCTGATCCAAAATACTAGTCTAGTAACAGTTGCATTTAAGAAAGGCAGTTTTGAAATTTTAAATTGCTGCATGGCTCGTGCTATCTTCAGGCAAGAAACACCATTTGTGTACCTGCCTGTGCGATGGGAAGTGCTTCCTGGCACCTGCATGGCCTCAGGCAGCTCCGCTACATTCCAGGGTGCAAATCCCAAGGCTCTTGTTTGCTGAGGTGTGAACTTATAGCATTACCATTCAAATGCAATTAATTTACAAACTCTGGCAGTGACAGAGTATTTCCTTTTCCATCCTTATGTGGTTTTCCATCCACTGTGGTTTTGTAAGGAAGTCACCTGATCAGTAGTATAAAATACTCTCTGTGGTGCTAACAGCCCTACATCTGGCCTCCCCAGACAATGCTGGAGGGAGTTACTTACCTAGGAAGTCCAGGGTAAATTCCCTGGGTTTTGGCAGAAGAGCAATGTGTTTGGTGCTTACAGCCCAGAGTTTGGTTCTTGGGATGGTAATCCCCTTGAGAATGGCAGGCTGCTGTCTTGTGTTCCTATGATAGACACAGACTAGGAATGATCTTAAATTCAGAGCAGCATTATAGAAACAATTTGGGCTCCTCCTTTTCCTGGTTAAATAACAGTGCAGTCTTTGCAAAGAGAGACAAAGCACAGAACACAATTATACACGCTTAATGTAAAGCAGGCAAGCCATGGGAAGGAGAAGGTTGCTGCTTCATTTAGAGGCTCTAGTTTTATTGTACACCACAAGGAGAAACCTGTTGTCACTCATATTGTTACCAGAACCATATAGTGGAATTAAAACCTGTGAAATTCAGATATTTCTTGTCATTTCACTATAGCTCCAGGACCTATATCTGTACCCTCAACAGTCTCTTGGTTCATATATGCTTTTCCTTTAATTGCTAGAGACAAGACGGAGCCCTGTCATCATCTTCCTTTCTTTCTTTATCAGTTAAGGAACTTTTTTTTCCCCCCTCTTCCAGTGACTTACATCTAGGCATGTGGGAAGGAGATGTGTCACTTAGCAGCATTGATTAGTTTGTAGTAACCAAGAAACCTGATCTGAAGCTTGTGAATTCATCTGATTTGTCACACCTACAAGCTATGAGACTATTCTTACAGCAGCTGTTACTAGTGCTGGACATCCTTGTTGGTACAGAATCACCCTGATGTTGCTATACATACATAAAACAAGAGGTACAAGTAGTATTTCAGGTTTCCCAGTCCAGAAAGTTTGATGTGACCGTTACTGTGCTCCAACTTGGAACCAATTGCTACATATAATCCTTTTTAAGGTTATTAGTTAAATACTGAATGATCAAGCTGCATATTCTGCTTCCAGGAGCATGGGATTCCCACAGACTTGGGCTATGCAGTAGCCCCCCATCATTCTGGGGTTTATCCTGTCCACACACAACTCTATGAGGCATGGAAATCTGTTTGGAGCATCCAGGTAACAAGCACAGAGGAATATCCACACCTACGGCCTGCCCGCTACCGGCGTGGATTCATCCATAGTGGAATCATGGTGAGCACAGCTGAGCAAGTAGAGCCCACTCTCCTTCTGCCCAAGGAACAGTCTCCTTAGTGACCTCTATCAAATACACTATTCTTAAGATTATCAGCTGAAACCAGTTCCTATGTTTCTCAGTACAATTCAGATGTCAGTACTGAACAGAGAGCAAAACCAAGCATAAGACTAAACTGAGATCCCACTGACTTGTTTGCACTGTGATCAGTAAATGGTCAGGAGGAACATCAAGAGAGTCCCCTGAACCTACGTCACTTATGTCTCTTACTCTTTTTATTGATTCATAGAGTGCTATTTTGACACATTCATGTGTAGATTCTGCTGTATCTGCCTACTACCTAACTTTGCTTTTCTCTGATATTTCCAGGTTCTGCCTCGACAGACCTGTGGTCTTTTTACTCACACCATCTTCTATAATGAGTATCCTGGTGGCTCAAAGGAATTGGACAAGAGCATTCGTGGTGGTGAACTCTTCCTGACGGTGCTTCTGAACCCAGTAAGCTCATTCAGAAGGGGAATCAGTGCATGTGTGTCTGAGCTTATATGCCTCGTGTGGGAAAGAAGTTGATCTTATGGGAAATTCAGTATAACCACCTGTCACAGTGTGGGCATCTCCAGTGTGATGCTAAGGGGATGTGAAAAAGAGGGCCAAGGAGGTGCTTGCTAGTTAACGCTGCTTTGCTTTACACACTGCCAATGAAGCATCTGTATTGAGTGCTGACAAGTGCAACACTCAGAAGACAGAAACTAGCCAGGGTGACATGCTGAGCATGGTCCAGAGTAGAGTGGGTGTTGCCTAGGTGGCTGCATCTTCATGAATCAGAAGTGCCTTGGTTTCTTCTGTTTCACGCACATCTGCCACTTGTTGGCTTCTCCTTGGGGCTGACTGATCTGTTTTGTTCAGAATAATTGCTTTCTCTGGCCTTTCCTTATGAAGTGTTCTCACCTGTTTTTTCCATATGAATATGCTCGAAACAATTTCTACATGCTTTCTCTATGATGTAGCTGTCACTGTAGGGCATTTTTGGGAGATCTGGGACTAACACAAGTGTTTCTTTTTTCCTTTCAATACTTTACAGTTCTGTCAAGCCACCAAGCTAATGTAGTACCTTCAACACTTGGCAGTCCCTTCCCAGTTCTTAGCCAAGGGTGCCAAATCACATGAGTTTCTCACTTCCCATTGAAGTGGGTAAGATGTACTAAGTGGCAAGAGAGACAAAAAAAAAAAAAAAGCTGTCAATTTTTGAAAATCCCAAATGGATAGAACTAGGAGATGAAGCTTTGTAGTTGTCTCCAACCACAGATCACACTCCCTCTCTTTTCTGCTTGTTGGCTGCAGCAGGAAGACATGATCCTCTTTTTTGATAGTACAGTAGCTTTTTCAGTTCCCCACCTGAATTCATTTCTTACTAAAGCTGAATTGGAACCTGTAACAAGGAACCTGTTTGGAACCATTTTTCTGTAAATGGACATTGCTCTGCAAGGTTTAGAAAGTGATTTTAGAATGTCTACCTCTGTAGCCACTCCTGAATATAAAGACATTTAATCTCCTTTTCTCATTATTTCCAAACTTCTACCTTCTTCTCCTTATATATCTTTTCCACCAGTGCCTGAATATTGGCAAGAAGTCATGCAAGCAGATTGGAGAGAAAGGTTTGTTTCTCACTAGTTTCCTGTGTGGGAACCCTTGAGTATTAGTCTCAGTCATTGAATAGTTGTTTGTGGGATTTCTCTTGTGACATCAGCGGCTCTGTTCACTGTGATGTTTGATTTTATTCCTTCTTTCTTTGGCATCTTGATTGCAGGGTTGAATATGCAGCTTTAGCTGCTTTTCGTATGAGCTGTAGAGGCTCAGTGAATTAGAAATTCAAGCTTTTTCCCATAAATGAGCTTCATTTTTATTTGTCTTTTGCTTTTTCTAGTGTTCAGTGCCTCTCTGTTCCTCAAAGTAGAACTGTGATAATGAAAACACCCTCGCAGTTTGCTCTGGGTGCATCACACAAGGTTGTAGTTTGCAAATAGGCCCTGATTTTCTGAAGGTTAGCCTGTGACCAGCTCTGGCTTGGTGTATGATCTGCAGAAGATATGGGCCTATAAAAGCCCTAGCTAAAAAGCTGAAGGGGCTAATACTTTCAGGTCTGGAAGCCAACCTTCTGTCCCTATTACCTGTGACACAATTATCTTTACACACAACAAACAATCTACAGGAAGGCTGGGGAGGAACTTCTTACAAGGGCAAGTAGTGATAGGACAAGGGGTAAAGGTTTTTAACTGGAAGAGGGGAGATTTACATTAGATATGAGGAATAAATTCTTTACTGTGAGGGTGGTGAGACTCTGGGACAGGTTGCCCAGGGAGGTTCTGGATGCCTCATCTGTGAAGTGTTCAAGGCCAGGTTCACTGGGGCTTTGAGCAACCTGGTCTAGTGGGAGGTGTCCCTGCTCATGCAGGGCAGTTGGAACTAGATGATCTTTACAGTCCTTTCCAACCCAAACCGTTCTGTGATTCTATGATTAATAACACTCTGTAATAAAGAAAAGGCTGTTCTTCACATTACGTGTGGAGTGACTGGTCAGATGGAAAGAAACTGCTTTCTTTTCTGAGCTTCTCTTCCCATATGTTGGGTGAATTCCTCCTTGTCCTACTTCATGATTGTTAGATCTTAAAGAATGCCTGCAGAAATAGCCATTGTGAAACTTAAGAGTTCCATGTTTCTCTTGGAAAACCAGTTGCCAGACTGTAATCCAGAGATCATTGCTGGTCTAGGATGCCGTGCCAAGGAATTTGTAGAAACATAGTTTGTAGAGCTACCCAATAAAATTGGCTGATAAGGATCTGACAGTCAAAGCAGCTGCCAGTGTTTTGTGATCCAGAAAGTTTGGGAAGATTGTGCTCTGGTCCAATATGCGCTTATTTGCCAGATTTACTGTTGGCTCTTCATGATGATTTTTAAAACTCTTTCAGGCACCTTCAGACGCTTCTGATGTTTACAGTTTTGCTTCCTTTTGGCAGGGGAGCATTTCTCTCTCTGTAAGCAGTGGAGTACAGTGCTCTAAGCTCCTCTTCATTGCTCCTGTTTGCACAGTGACTCAGACCCTTGCATTCCTCTCCTTGCTGATAGAGCCATCTCTTGAACCTGATAGAAGTCTGGCCAGCCCTGCAGCCCCAGCAGTGATCCGTAGCAGACTTGGACCAGGCTCTTTTGGCCCTTTTTGGAGCTTCCAGCTCCCTTTGAGTGGATATACACGCGCAGGAGTCTCCAAGCCTGTACGTGTATGATTAACTCCACAGTGCAAACAGAAGATGTTTGATCTTCTGACTAGTGAACAAGGTCTGATGTCAGGAAGGAGAATAGCTGTTGACATTCAGCCGTCAGGCTGCCATGTGCCCAGTTGCTACTTCCCAGAAGCAAAGGGCATCTTTGTGATCACTTCTCACAAACGCTTTGCTCACACTACAAAGGCAAGTTACTGCTGTGCCCACAGCTGCTCATTGCATATTGCAAAGATGCTCATACTCTCCTGTTTTCTGTATTCTATGCTCTGTGACCTTTCCTCTCATCTTTCCTCTGTGTGAAGGAAGGGAAACCATGGCATGCTAACAGTGGAAGGGGGGGGAGAGGAGAGAGGTATCATTACCAAGCCAGTTCCTGGGGTCACTGGGTGTGGATGGGAGGGAGAGATGGGACATGATTATATCTTATGTCAGAAGTAGTGCTCAGAGCTGTTTTGGCAGCAGTAGCTGTGACGAAGCAGAGCAAGCTGCCAGGCCTTGTTACACAGTGCATGTGTGTTACAGGACATGACTGCATGACTGCAGGCTCAGAAGTACAAGGAAATGGCTCTTTGGTTGGGCTTGTCTTACCTACTTCTAAACCCCTTTGCTTTGGACTCTGCAGTTAACAGCATTATCTGTGTGAGCAATTTTACTCAAGGTAGTCATCTTGAGACAGAGTTGCTAACCTGGGTCACATGCAGGCTTTTTTCATTCTAGAAATCTTGAAGGGGCCCCAGGTTGTGACCTGCGTCCTCCCTGCTCCAGTCCTTGGTTCATACCAGAGAGCCAGATACTTTATGCAGCAGATTTTTCCTCTAGATGTTTCACTAGCAATTCAAAGGGATGAGCCACCCTTTGGTGTCATGCTACTTCCCTGGTATCTCCCAGAATGGGCAAAATACATGAGACACATCCTTTTGCTGCCTTGGGTGCTCCATGGCATGGTCTTGCAGTTACATGGATGATCTTTCTGTCCTTTGTTCTGTGTGGTATTTAGCACATTCTTTTTACATAACAGCACCAAACACACGCTGCTCTTTCAAGTGGAGGTGCCAGAGTCTGTCTGGCAGGGCCTCTCGGTCAGCTTAGTAGGAAACCAGAAGTGAAAAACTCACAGACAGATGAACAGGATCAGTCTTCAACGGTGCTTACTTCCCACATGTCCCAGAGTCCTGCCACTGTTTTCTGTTGCCTACCTGAAGATCAGGGGTGTGAACACCTTGTGGACAGGATTAAATTAATTTCACAGTATCCTGGGGATGGCTTAGGCACAAAAAACTACTATCTATCACTACTTCTTGTCTCACTGAGAAGAATACTGAATTCAGACCTCCTGAGTGCCAGCAAATGTCTTAATTCCAAGACCATCTGTCTCCTGCTTCCTCCTTTTGCTCTTCCCGTGCTGTGGGTGGGGAAGGCATTCCTGACACATGCCAGCAAAGCCTGTTGTTGCCTGCTGACCTTACCTGGCATCATCAGGACTAAGCTCTGAACTCTGCAGCAATGGGTACCCCTACTATGACTTGGTCTCTTCTCCTCCCTGGTCTAGGAGACACTGGGCGGAGAGTGTTACATCATCCATATAGTCATTCTTCCCTTGGCTGCAGTGTTCTGCTATTGGTTTGGTAACTTATAGCCATGGTGTGGTTTGTCTGGAAAAGTGCTGTTGCATTACTGGCACTGAGATGCCCAATTCCACGAGACCCATCAAAGCCACACACCAGAGTGAAGCTGACAGCAGTCTTTTGCACTCTTTTTCCAAAAGTTGAACTACTGGAAAAACAGACAGGATGGAAACATATCTGCTTTAGAGAAGTGATGGCTTAGCAAGGCAGATAGCATACAGGCTCCTGAGCACTGCAGTGCTTGGAGGGGTTCCCATGGGTGCTCAGTGCCACTTTGCCCAAGGGTTTATATCCTGAGGCTTGGCAGGATATTTTTCAGGGGCTGCTTATGCTGTGGGCTCTTTCAAGCTAAAACTCTATCAGCTGGTGTTTGCTCCTGGGATGATGTCCTAGTGCCATGTCTCATTGCAGTTCATGTTTATATTAACCCCAGGTGTGCATTTACGTTTTAAAGTGTGAATTGCCAGATGCTCCTTTACACTTGAGACATCAGCTTCAAAGTGAACGAAAGTTGACAGGAAGTGTGTCTAGAAATAACTCCTGTGAAAACTGTCCCTTGTGCCCTTCTCCCTGGCCTGCTCCTCTGATGGAGCTGGCAACTCAGCTAGAGAGGTCACCCTGATTGTGTCTTGGGGAAAGGAAGGAAAGTTCCTGTTCTCCCATGAAAGAGACTTTGTGAGGTTTTGAGTAGTAGGGAGCCACTGACTAACCCTTGTTTCCCTGAATGTCCCAGAGCCACTTGAATGGGATTTTAAATCTTCTTCTAGACTCACAGCCAGGGCTCAGTTACCATTCTCAGGCATTACTGAAAGGTCTGTGTCTGTTGTCTGCTGAGTTCCTCCTGTCTTGAAAGTGCTACATTTTTTTCATCAGGGCATTGCTGCATACTGGCTGATAAACATTCATCAACACAGCCAGTCAGGGCAATCTGAGATCTTTGAACAGAGTCTTGCTGACAATAGAATCTAGCTAGGAGGAAAAGGTACTGTTAGCAGTACTGATTTACCAATATCCCATGTTTTTCCTGTTTTCAGATCAGCATCTTCATGACCCACCTATCCAACTATGGGAATGACCGTCTAGGACTGTACACTTTCGAGAGCCTGGTCAAGTTTGTGCAGTGCTGGACCAACCTTCGCCTGCAAACACTGCCCCCTGTCCAACTTGCAAAAAAGTACTTCGAAATCTTTCCCCAGGAAAAGAATCCCTTGTGGCAGGTGAGAAGCAGCTTTAACTGCTCCTAGTCGTTTTCCAAGAGATACATTCCACATTTAAAGTGTGGTGAGACTGCTGATCCAGAGCACAGAGGGGTAAAGCTTTTAGGTTTCATCTTTGTGGCTTGAGGCTGCAGGTGGTAAATTGCAAGGTGGAAGGGATGGGGAGTAGGAGCTGCAAGAACACAGTCACGGTGTGAGCTTAGGGACAGGGATGGCTGTCATTAGTGACTGGAGGGCAACTTGCAGGTATCTGGGTTGTTGAAGGGCTTATATTAGAACAAGCTGCTATGAAACGTTAGGTGTGTGAGGAAGAACACTGGTGCTGGAGGAGTTTGCAGGCATGTTAATGTGATTAATCATAAAGTAATTTCACACTGCAGAATTCATATTAATTAAATAAAAACATCCTTATTCCATTTTATCCCAGTACAGCAGTTATCTGCATGGTAATGAGCAGATGCAGTTAACAGGAGGTGGTAGAGTTGTCTCTCTGCCAGTAATACACAGATGTCAAGCTATCATAGTGGCCCAGCCCAGCATGGATACACAGGGCAAGGCCTGTGGTTAATGCTCTCAGAGGAACTTGAGCTCCCATCTCACTTCGTAGCTTTTGTAAACGTTTCCCCATGTTTTTTCTTAACTCTTCTTGATGCCTGGCAGAGCAGTGATGTGGCTGTGAAGTGTTCTTCATATGCTAATGGCATTTTCCAAAGAGGACTGGCCTTCCAGCTTTTCCTCCCCTTTCTGTTACCTCCTGTGGTAATGCTTAATCCCATCATTTGTGATGCAGAATCCCTGTGATGATAAGAGGCACAAGGATATCTGGTCCAAAGAGAAAACATGTGATCGACTTCCCAAGTTTCTCATCGTTGGACCTCAGAAAACTGGTAATGTGAAAATTTTATCTAAAGATAGATTGCAGCTTCCATCTTATTCCTGCAGAGAGGAGAGCTGGAAAGGTTCGTGTTGTAGGTTTGTATGGCTGCACATGGTGCAAGCTGCCAAATGGCTGCAGAGGACATTTCAGAGACTCTCAGATTTGTTCTAACCTAAATCTGGCAAGTCTGTCAGTACTTTGTGTTCCAGCACTTTGCTTGGCTCAGTCCTGATTTGCAGGGAAAAGCCCTAGCTGCAGAGTCCTTTATTGGCCTTTCCATGTAAGCTCAGAGAAAACTGACCTTTCTTAGTGTGTCACAAACAAGCTTGTCAGCAGGACCAACTCACACGCTCAGCAAAGGTTATTATTAATTCCCCTTAGTGCTTTTATTGCAACAGATCTATGTATCCACTGCATGTCCCATGTCACTGCCAGCAGGAGGTAAAGATCCTCTTTTGTCTGACCTCTGTCACCACTTAATTGTGGTGGCATTGTGGTTGGCAGTGACATGGCTGTATATACCGTACTGATGAGTCCCTTCTAGGCTGAAACCTTGGCTTCTTCTGTAGTGCAGTGAAACAGCAGCCATTATCACACTCAGGAAACAGTGATCCTGGCTTTAGGAGGAAGCTTGTCCGAGCCAGGCTGCTGTCTCCTGCCTGTGTCACTGTGAAGCTCTGTTGGCATATGTGCAATATGAGCCCTCCTGTATCATTGCCCAAGCTGCTTGCAGTGGCACAGTAAGAAAACCCTTCTGGCTGATTTACTGGCCTGCTGGAGGCCTTCAGCTGTATGCAGAGCAGGATTATTTGGTTTTGGTGGGTAAAGGAAAAACATCTGCAGCAGAGGCAGGCCAAGGTATCTCTAGGTGAATTCTTATCCAAGGACACAAATGTCCTTAGCACATCTCCTTTCCTGCAGTACTCAGGCCACCTTCTGTTTTGCAGGTACTGGTTCTGCCACATGATAATGTGGCTGTGCCACCAGGGAAAAAACATGTGAGGTAGCCCAGCCATGGAGAGAACATAGAATAGCTGACATGGGTGACAGCTGTCACGCTAAGGAGGTGACTTAATTCAGCTGTATGAGCTGAAGTGAGGGATTGAGCAGGCTTGAACTGCCGAGTCAAATTCAGTCCTGACATGCTTGGTGTCACTGCTGTTGTAACCTGCATGAGTGAAGAGGTGCGTTATCCATGCATGGTGAGAGTGCACCTGCCTGGGGACTGTTCTTTGCAATGTAAAACCTTTCATTCAGCCAAGCATTATGTGTGACCCAGATTCTGTTAACTGGTTTCTTTTGCAGGCACAACAGCTGTGCACTTCTTCTTGACCATGCATCCAGCTGTCACCAGTAACTTCCCAAGTCCATCCACATTTGAGGAGATCCAGTTTTTTAATGGACCCAACTATCATAAAGGAATCGACTGGTAAGTACCCTGACACATGTTGTCTACTCCTGAGTCCCTCTGTATGTCCAGTTCAGCCACCTGAGTAGCTTCTCTATTTCTGAGCAGCTCCTTTCATTGCTACTGCTCAGCACATGTTCTCTGTTTTCCTGCTAACCCAACTGCTTAGTCCCAGGAGCAGGATAGGTAGTTTCTGATCTTAGTGACTGTTCACCAGGAGACTTCTAGGCATAACTTAGCTTTACAAAATCACTTTGTTGAATGCACTGCTGTCATGGAAGTTTCTTCTCCTTTGACATGCAAAAGAGACAACAGTGTGCTCATTCAAAAATTATTCGTGGTTTTTGAGTTAAGACACAAAGGACAGAGGGAATAACCCCCATACTGATCTGGGCCCTTTAGACTTAACAGAGATGGCACTGCATTCCTTGCACTGGCTGCAGTGTCTCTTTGGCCATATGCATACCCTGGTCTTTACCTGTACAAGTGTACTATCTGATAAAGTGTTTCATGGCAAGGACATACTAGTGTCACTATGGCACTATTATGGCAACGTGTTTCTGGGCAGAGAAATTTCAAAGTTGTCTCTTGCTCGAAGCATGAACTTTGGGTCTGCTGTGGCACTGGAGTCCCTTGTGGGGACAGTAAGGTATTCTTCCATGGTATTTCTTTGTGCATGAGTTGTGGGAGATTTTGCCTGAGTTTTCTGATAATTTAAAGGACTATTAAGAAGGAAGATGGTTGGTACCTGAGTGAAGCTCAAATAAGTCAAGCACTACAGAGCAGTTGTACTAGCTGATAGATAGGCTTAGGAAGTGTAGGGTTTTGCACGCATCCCCTATAAGAGTCATCCAACTTGAGTGTAGCATCACATGCAAGAGGAGAAACTTCATGTTAAGGATGAAAAATATTTGCGTTTGTTGTACAGCTTAAATTTCAGCAGATACCAATCTTCCAGTGCTTTATAGTGCCTTGTACCCTTTCCCCTCCTATTACTTGAATGATTTACAGTTCCTGCATTACTAATTTTAAAAGCTCCTGTGAGGCACGGCAGAGCTCTTGACCTGGTGTCTCAGTTATGTACTAAGGTACAAATAAATATATAATTTAGATGGGTCTAAACCAAGAGGTCAGTGGCAGGGCAGGCAGCTGATTCTGGCCTTATTCTTCGGAAGAGGGTTTCTCTTTTCTCCTGGAGCTTAAAACTAGTACCCTACCCTCAGCCTTTTCCTTCCACTGCCCAAGGACTTGGGGAACACACTCTCTGTAAAATGCTTTCTCCAGCTTTGTGTATTGCACTCCACCACCCCTTTCCAAGCCATGCCTCTGCCAGCACTGCACCCGTTTACCCATCCACTGCATTACTGGGCAGGTGCAGTTGTTCTGCAGACTGTGTCTGCTGAAGAGGAGCAAACACGTTGTTTTGTCATGAGCCATTTTTTTGTTGGGCCATGCAGCTCACCAGTGTCCCATCTGTTCGGCAGGTACATGGAATTCTTTCCTATCCCATCCAATGCCAGCACAGACTTCATGTTTGAGAAGAGTGCCAATTACTTTGACACAGAGGTGGTACCAAAACGTGGTGCAGCTCTGCTGCCTCGAGCCAAAATCATTACAGTTCTGATCAACCCTGCTGACCGAGCCTACTCATGGTACCAGGTAACTTCCCTGCATTGTTCTGTGGATGATGGCTAGCAAGATGTTCCAGTGGGGTGAGGTGGCAAGCCTGGGGCAGAAAGCTATGAATCCATATCCATAAAGGGGCCATGGGAGATGATGCAGACCACCTTCAGAGTGTGGAGAGCGTTATATACAAAGGCATTTATGGGTGGTTATGCCAAGACACTGGGGTCTGCACAGAAATGTGCAAGGTACAATCTTGTGTTCCAGCTCCTAAACTCAGCTTATCTTTTTCAGCACCAGCGGGCTCACAGTGACCCTGTGGCACTCAATTACACTTTCTACCAAGTGATCTCTGCAAAATCCCAAGCCCCTCAGGATCTGCGCAACTTGCAAAGCCGATGCCTGCTCCCTGGCTGGTATTCAACTCATCTTGAGCGCTGGCTGACGTACTACCCCTCTGGGCAGGTAGGTCTGGCAGCAGAGGCTCTCGTGGAGCCCCTGTAGGTTTAATGTAGAGGAGAACAAACTGTAATGCATACACATCTTTTTTCTTCCCGACGTGTTTTCATTTCACCTTTTGTCTTGCCTTTTGGAACAAGAGCCACCACTTGCTTCCCTCTGTTACGAGCTGGGAAAAAATCAGCTTGAATACTCCAATTTTGCACTTTATTATATTTGTAAAAGTAAATGAGTGCAAGAGAATACTGGGATCTCCCAGAGAGCTCCACAATATTTAGAAGTTCAGCAAGAACAGCAGTGTTAGCACTCCCTTCCTTTATCTTGGCAGCCTGCAGCCCAGGGACCCTCTTCAAGCCTGGTAGGTGTTCACCTACTTGTGGTTTCATTGCTTTAAAGAGAAGCTCTTGGACTCTTCCACTTCTAAGTTCCCATATTGTAAGGCCTTTAGTTGTCTGCTGAAGGGAAATTCTGATGCAGAGATGTCAGGATTCTGTTTTGTGTATAAATTTGCAAAATGTCACTGAATAGAAAATACAGAATTATTGTCTCTAAATTCCCAAGGAGTTTATTAAGTGTCTAAAACTGTATGAGTGCCAATACATTTTTTTCAAGTTCCTTTCTGCTGCTGGGGTTATCTTCAGTTTATAATCCAGCGGTTTTATAGTCCAGGAGCTTTATAATCCAGCAGTCTTATTCTCTGCCAGAGCAGTAACCTAAATGGTACAGGACAGATCTGTCAAGACTGAGAGAAACATGGGCAAACATTCTTGGGCTCGTGTCTCATTTTCTTACTATACCTGGGCGTTGCTGCTGTGAGGAATGATAAGACTCATCATCCTTGGACTTATTATGGGTCAGGGTCTTCTACCTTCCTCAAACTTCAGTTAACATGACTTTTTCTACTGTGCCTTTTAGAATAGGTAATTTATTAGCACAATTGTTGTTCATTAGTGTCTATTATACACATAAAGAGAGAATAATAATAGGTTACAGAAGAATACTTAGGACAATGGCTGCTGACATCTACAAAGAATACATAAGATTTCCAGAGATGATGTCTAAATCATGCCACTGCTGGGACTTAATGACCATCAAAGGCATTAGGTGTGGCCAAAGGCATATTTATTCAGTGAAGCCTGTCATGATCTATTGTCTTATAGTACTTGTGGTCCATGTCATAACTTTTCTGCCTGGGGTGACAAATGGGCCATGTCCCCTCACCATGTTGCTCTAGAGTAAACAGGCTTTGACAGTCCTTACTCACACATGCCAAGGGCAGGGTAGTTTTTAGGTCCAGGAAGCTCATGGGTGTATGTAAGCACAAATTCTCAGAGGCTAAGGTAGCTGCTGTCTTTTCAGCTTCTCATTGTGGATGGTCAGGAGCTGAGACACAACCCTGCCTCTGTAATGGACAACATCCAGAAGTTCTTGGGAGTTACGCCGCTCTTCAACTACACCCAGGCCCTCAGGTAGGGAAATCATTTTTGGGAGGATGCTTTCTTAGCCAATTGTGATACTAATAATCACTTGATTGGAATAATACTTCTTACCTCTGGCTACAAGACCTGCCAAAGTTTGAGAGGTATGCCTAAGCCTAAAATTAGGTTCAGATAGCATGAGGTGCTATGCTAAGACTGGAATCATAGCTAAATCTTTCCAGAAATTAAAGGGGAAGGTGTAGGTTTGGTTGGGATTTTTTGCACTGTCATGGAGAAGTATGAGATTGCTCTCAGCAATCCAGTGTTTTCCTTTTGGTCTTTGTGATTTCAGAAAAGGTGCTGGAACTACTAGCACTCCTTACGCTTTGTGTTATACCTGCATCTGACAGAAAGTAGAGGAAGTATGATTAAAAATGTATGACAAGCTGCTCATATATTCAGCTAGGGCAAGATTAGGGACACATCACTCAGTTTTGAGGTAAAGAACCTATTATTGCAGAAGACGGGGACTTGACAGGTAGCCAGAAGAAATGTCTGAGGAAATAAAAGTGGAGGCACTACCTCGCTGCTACTAAGTTGAAGGATGTTACTCAGCCATTACTGTGATCTTGCCCACACTGCAAATACAATTAATCTGAATAGATTAAATGCTAGCTGAGGGGAGGACTATGACTGTATCAGTCTTCAGTGGAAACTGTACAAGCCCACTGGAGATCCTGAATATTATTCTTTGCAGCTGAAACAGCCTATGTTAGTTGAGAGGAGTAAGTGGTGTGTATGTGTGTGGGCATAAACCAATTGCCCTTTCTTTTAAAAGTAGAGGAGAACCAAGTCAGTTCTACAGTAATTTCCAAGAGGGTGGCACGTCACTTGAAAGCTGTACTTGGTGAAGCACATGTGGTGATGGTAAATTAACTAGTTCCAGTGGTGGTACTGGCTGGTACCCTTCAGCCAGGGTCAGAAAATAAATGGTACTGGTCAACTTGCCTAGGAGTTTGGTAGAGGAACTTGCTTAGACCTCAAGGTCACCTTTGGCTAGTTGCAGGGACAGAACAAACTAGACCCAGACATAGTTCCTAGAATTGCCTTATACCTGTGTTATAGCAAGAAGAGAAACACTGACTCTCTAAAATGATCAGGGGATTCTCTAATACTTGGCAACTATAAGGAGAGTTGGAAAAATTTACATACACTACAACATTATTATTCCTTCCCAGCCAAACAGACAAATACTGTCACCGTGTTACCTCTGAAATTTGCATAAAGCTGAAACAGTCCTAGTTGTAATGGATCTCTTGTCAAAATAGTCCAGTTCTAAAAAAATAAAAGGAGCCAACACTACAAATAAATAGATAGAACCTAAGCCCAGTTTGTAAAGTATTGAAACAGGAAATACCTACAGAATCACTTAATTTCTGCTGCTACTAAGTGGGCATGTGGCCGTATCTTTTAAGAACAAGTATCCTTTTCAGGTTTGATGAAGCAAAAGGCTTTTGGTGCCAGCTGCTAGATGGAGGAAAGACTAAATGCCTAGGAAAGAGTAAAGGAAGAAAATACCCTGATATGGATTCCTCGGTGAGTAACTGTCTCAATCTCAGTAAAAAAGATAGAAACATCCCAAAACCAACCTGGATTTTCATACCATCTGTGTCCTAGATGACTTATGAAATGTGTCGAAGGTAACTTTTTCTTTCACGCTTAATGTGGTCTCTGTCTTCCACAACACAGTCACGGCTGTTCCTAAGAGACTTCTACCGGGAGCACAACATTGAATTATCCAAGCTGATGAACAGACTTGGGCAACCCCTTCCAACCTGGCTCCGAGAGGAACTGCAGAACTCCAGCTGGAGTTGAGAGGGGCTCCCTTGTCCCCAGTGCCATTGGGATGTGTGGTGCTCCAACGTGTGCTATGATGCCATCTGTTGTCAAGCCAAAACAACTGGACAAACCAGCAGGAGCAGAGAATGTGCATGTGGAGCCTTTCCACACCATTAGGAAGGGCTGCTGCCTCTGGCACTACCCTGGGGGCATGGAGTGTGTCACATTCTTGAGTATTAATGGTGTGTTACACTTTGACTTTGACTTACAGGAAGGGTTTTGAGTGCCTGCCCTACTTTAGGCAGGGGAGAGCAGACAGTTAACACTACATGTCCAACTTACTCTTCTCAGTATATGAAACAGGCAGTTAGCTGGAGGGTTAATGTGTTACTCCTCTGAGTCCAGAAGACTTAAGAGGTAAGTTACTGTGCCCACTGCTGCAAAAAAGAGCAGCAGCTTAATAAAAGGGGAATCTAGCCCAGTGAGCCCCAGCTTTTTATCTAGTAGTGTATTTGGCAACAGCAAGGTCCAAGACTGCCTTCTACCTCCCCATTTAAGTACAGTGGCCATTATCATTACTTATAGTGCCACTGTGTGCAGCTGTTGGGGACTGCATCTTCTTGGAGACAGATGTAACAGACATAAGATTGCCTTTCCTATCTGCAGCATTGTTAGTGTGATACAGTAACTTGGGTAATGGGCAGTGAGAGATAAGGTTAAACTGCAGATACTGACACACATAGAATTAATTTGTTATCTTAGGGAAAAGGTTGCCATGTGTGGCAATGGAGGCAAATATTTCTCTGCAGGGACTCTAGACATTTCAAAAGATAACCAAGGAGCAGTATGTCCCCTTAAAGCACTTTGGAGGCATGTAGCAGTGCAGCACAGCAGCTGGGGGAGGTAAAATTTGGGTATTGAAAAATAAGACTGATAAATCTGAAAGCAGACAACTCAGCTCCCCAAGTTTGATCAACTTAAGAAAATTAAAAAGCAAAATTTTTCTCTTTCCAACAGCTCCAGGGCCCCTGCCATCTATGCTGATAGCAAGCACCTGTTTTAATCCCCCTGCAGTCCAACAATCCAAGGAGAAAAGCAGAAAACAGTTAAAAGCAAGTATCTCAGAAATAGAAGAAGCCTTCAGAAATGGAAGGCTTGGAGCTAGAAGTGGTGTATTGTATTCAAAAGGGAGTGTTTAGTTTACTACTGCACATAGTCAAGTAAGTACGCTAAGGTGCTGTGCCTCTTCCTGCAGTTTCTAGATAATTATTCTCAGATGAAATCCTCCATCATGGTTGTACATGTTTTCTCTTGCTGAGCCATGGGCTTCTGGAGTTGTGTGGGCCATCATCCCTCCCTCCCTCCCAGGTACAGCTGTTCCTTGGAGGTTGCTGCAGTTCCAGAGAAGAGATGGGCAGTATCCATATGAACACAGATTATGGAACCTTCCACAACTGTCATGAGTTCCTTTTCTCCTATCAGGGGAGAGAAGTTGCTTAAACCAAGCTTTTCCATTGAGCCTTAGGTATTGTGTATTTCTGAATGAATGGTGCATTTACCGTTGTATGTAAATGTATATAGTATGCAATATAGTATTTTATTTCATGTGCCCTTGGAAAGGGTTCTTTTGTGCAGCCAAAAAAAAAAAAGGACAGAAAGACTAGAAACCCCTCTCTCACTCCTGTTAGAGAGACGAGCCCAACTTCCTGCACTGGATTCATGTATAGGATCATTCACATTGAATGATAATGAAGAAATTTCTTGGCTTTTGAAGCTGAGCACAAGTGTCTGAATAAAGGCTAGAAGTAGTAGTAAGTGGATTCAATAAATGTACTACTTATTTTTCTTCTTTGTGATGATTTACAATGATGTCATGGACCCTAAGCTGGTAGAAGCAGAAGAAAAACTGAAAAACCTACTCTAGCCCTTACAGCTGATATTTGGGAGGGGCAACAAAAGTGTTTTAAGTTATATTTGTAACAACACAGAAACAGTGTCCTAAGGCTTCTTCCTCTGCAGGTGCCACTGCAGGCTTGCAGAAGCTGCCAGAGCTCACAGCCTGTAGTCAGAGACTCAAACTTACTGGTTTGCAGTAGTTTCCAGCTGCTGCGCTGCAGCAACAGTGTTGCTGTGCACCTCCTGTCCAGGTGTGGTCCAGAGCCTTGCCTTGGCCAGGAGCCTGTGACCCACAGCAATAAGCAACCTTACACTGAACTGGAAGCAAAATAGTATTTCAATAGGCACAGTTATGACAGCATTATAAAACAGCCTTAACAGCTCTCACTTCACCAAACACAAGTAAACACAGCAGCAGCAGAAAAGCAGTTGTCACAGGAAGATCCCAGGACCAATGATGCTACTGCTGCTCCACTAAACAGTTTCTTCCTCTTAAGCCATTACAGCTTGTGACTTACAGTTACTTCATGCTTAACCTCGGACTGGTACATCTTTGAAGAGACAAACTTAAAAGATATTCAAGGTACCAGGAATAAATGTTGGGAGGGGCTCAGTTTACTGGTGCTAGTCTTTTTCACTCAAGGCAGCAAAGGACAGCTATGTCTTCTCATTATTTATTCGTTTACTAGCCCCCAGTGCTTCATTTTTATGCTTATCTTGTTCTTACTGCTTATGCTAACATCAAACAAATTACCTGCTGTGCTCGGATCCAAGTGTGGGATGTCCTTATCTGATCTAGCTGATAAAGAGTCATCTTCAAATCTGGTAACTCTGACAGCACATTGCTGCAGAAGCTGCCCTCCCTCCAGACATCCCTTCAAAGCTGTGGAAACAAACTAACACCTTGTCTTAAGAGGAGCTCTTGGAAAAGCCAACATCTTTTCCAGTGAGGTATGTTTGCTACTAGACACTGACCCATTAGGCACTTATACGTTACAGACCCTCATACTTCATTTCCACAGTGGAACTAAACCTCATCTTCTTACCTCACTGTTTAATAACAGAACTTCATAGTAAGCAACTTACGTCTCAGACAAGGAAAATGGTAAGTACAAAACATTACCTGAAAACTTTTTGTAGTCTGGTACGTAGGAAACTGAACCACAGGAAACCTTAAAAAAGGAGTAATTTGATGCAGGTATCAGCAGCACATAACTGTAATAGAAACAGTATCCAGGTCACGTCACTGTTCAGAAGTGGAAGGATGCCCAACAGGTGAGAACTGGTAAATCAAGTACTAGGAAATAACTTCTGGGTTTTTTTCAGGCTTGGTTTGCTACAAAAAAAGTATTCCCAACACTCACATATCTCCTACTCTTGATAACTATGTAAAAAGAACATAATAAACAATATATTTTTGGATTCCAAGACTCAGTTCCTCCTCATTCAAATCTAGATAGTCTTACCGACTCTCTGGTATCTCAAAAATGCTTGTAAACAAGCATGTCCATAGTGGTGACTGCCTTGCCAGTGCCAGCCTGAAACCCAGCTCCTGTAGACAGACAGGATGGACAAGACAGACAGGATGGACAGGGCAGATAGACACAACAGAGAGAGAGACAACAGACAGGACATTTGGACAGATAGGACAGACAGACAAACAGGACAGAGAGGACGAGCAGACAGGATGGACAGACAAACAGGACACACGGACAGACAGGAGAGACAGGGCAGACAGGATGGATGGACAGACAGCGTGACAGACTGAGGGACTGACAGGACCAGGATGGACAGACAAGATAGAAAAACAGGACAGACAGACAGGACGGGCAGACAGGACAAAAAGGAAAGACAGGATGGACAGACAGGATGGACACAAACAGGAGAGACAGGAAAAAGAGGACAGGGCAGGCAGGAGAGACAGGACAGGACAGACAGGATGGATGGACAGACAACATAAACAGACAGGATGGACAGATAGGAGAGACAAGACAGACAGAAAGGACAGACAGGATGGACAGACAGGCAGGATGGACAGACAGACAGGAGAGACAGGATGGACAGACAGATGGACACACAGGATGAACAGGACAGATAGATGGACAGGAAAGACAGGACAAACAGGATGGACGGACAGACAGGACAGATGGACAGACAGGATGGACAGACGGACAGGACAAACAGACGGACAGGACAAACAGGACGGACCAACAGACAGACATACAGTATGGACAGACAGGATGGAAAGACAGGACACACAGACAGGATGGAAAGAGGACAAACTAGACGGACAGACAGGCAGGACAAACGGACGGACAGGATGGATGGACAGACAGGACGGATAGAACGAAGAGACTGACAGGACAGACAGGACAAAGAGACAGACAGGACAGGACAGACAGATGTCCTCACTACTCAACCTCGATTCTGTTTTTGCAAGACTGCTCAGTGCATTCCAGCACTGTGTAGCAATACCCGAGGTAGCACTAAATGAGCTGGGAAAGTAACAGCCAGTAATCTACTGCAAAATACAACAGTGCTAGGCTTGATAAAAAACAAACCCACAATAAGAATAAAAAAACAGTTTAGGTTCAACAGCTTTGCAGGAGGCTATTTCTGAATGGTTTATCAGAGACAGAAAAATACATATCCCCAAAAAATATTGTCAGTAAACTAAATTAGACAGAAATACACTTTTCAACTAACTCCAGCCATACCTGTTGCTAGGCATGTTGCTTCATCAGACAACTCTAGTTCCTCTTGTTCTTGGCCTGTAAAGACACTGAAGTCCAAAGGCAAATACTGTTCTGCTAACTCATATTCCTGGAAAGTGCTTCCAAAGAGAAACCTCCACAGGCAAGTAAGATGGTTGAAGGTGGACATGTCCAGAGAGGGCTCACCTGATTTACACAGAAAAAGGGTCTAAATAGATCTGCAGCAGCAGATCTATTCGAAGGAAAGAGGCTTGTAATGACAAAAACCTTTATTTTATCCATTCCATAAGAGCAAAAATATCACACTATTCCTTCCGATGAGCCAAATGTATGAAAGTCCAGGTGCAATCTTGGCACATCTTAGACCAACTACACTAATGCCAAAATTTTCCCCCTAAAGACCCAGAAACTGTAGGGATCAACACTTGAAATTATAAAAATTCTGCTGTCCCAGATGCAGGATGACCATGCACAGAGGTAAGGGACAAAGACCCTATAGGAGTGCCCACTAATGTCCTGAGTGAGGGAAGGGAGGAAAAAAAGACCCTTTCACTTACAGTACCTGACCTTTATCTTCTCACATGCTCTCCCTTACATTTTTTTATATATGGCCCCCACTGTATATATATATATATATAAAATAAGACACAGAGGGAATCTCTAAGGAGTTGATTTTAAGTATGGAACAGTTAACAAGCAACTGAACACCATCTGGTTTTACCTGCATGTACTGAGCCTTGGACAGAACATCAAAATGCACATCTATGCACCATGCCAGATTGTTTAGCCACTTTTCAGATGGTTTCATCTGCACCTGGAAAAATTAGTCTTCTCCAGCTGTCCACTGAAGTGAGCTGTTATCTCCAGAGATGGGAAAGCATATTTCCTGCGGTCACAAGAGGAAACATATGTGGCAAGTGAAAGCAAGTCATTGTGAACAAGGGACACAGGAAAGAAGCACAGTATAAAGACCTCATTCGTCTTACC